GCCCGGCCTCGGCGCCGTGCAGGATCTGCAGCAGCAGTGGCAGGCAGCCGGAGCGGCGCATGGCCACGCAGCTTTCGGGCGAGCCAGACATGGCGAGCAGCGTGCGTGCGGTGTCCTCCTGGTCACGTGTTGCCAGCATGGACAGCAGCCAGAACACCACCTCCACCTGCAGGGGACCGGGAGAGGCAAGGTCGGAGGTGGGGTCTCTGCCGCCTGCCCTCCCTTGCCAGGATGGGTCCGGGGCGTCAGGGGCCCCCTAAAACACCGGGAGTCCTGTGACCTCAGCACACCCTCACCAGTCTCACCGCAGTATATCCTCTCCCCCCAGGGGGAGGCCCACACACCTAGGGGGATGGATGGGTGGGGGCGACAGAGGCATACACACTCTGTGGAGATGACCTCAGCCCAGGAGGGTCAAATGCTACTGTGGGGGATCCTCCCATATCTGGGAATGCAGACTGAACCGTTTAGAAGGCCTCCAAACACACAGGGCGACTTTCCTGACCACCAGCCTCAGCGCGAGCCCCACTGCAGGGTGGCCCCTCGAAACCTGGGGGGCTGGACAAAGGTGGGAGGCCAGCCTGCCTCGCTGTACACCCCAGCCAGCTGCCCCCGACCCAGACCCCGCCCTCACCTTGCTGTTGCCCGGCTGAGGGGTGCCATCGCTGGTATGCGTGGAGACCTCCACCTCAGGGTCCTCGTCCACGGGCACTGATCTCACCGCCAGCAGGGCCTGTAGGGAAAGCACTAGGCTTGGGGGCTCACCCTGGGTGTACCCCACAAAGCCCCCAGGCTGCTGATGCTGGCCCACCTTCTGGGTTGAGATGGGGGATGAGGGGAGCTTCAGGCCGATTACCGCGCCATGGGCAGGGCCTGGGGCTGCCCCACCCGGCTCTGGTTCCGCCCATGGTACCTGGGGCTCGGTCTGCTGCACCCGGTCCTGTGCCTCCAGCAGTTCCTTATCGATCTGCTCCAGGCGCGACGCGCGGATCTGTGTGGTACACAGGCGCTGGGCCACACCGCCTCGGCTCCGACTCTGCTCACTCCCACCGAGGCTCCGCCTACTGTCTATAGCCCACCCTGTCCTTCTAAGACTCCACCCACTCCCGGTTCTGACCCCGCCCACTCCCACTGTGGCTCCGCCTACTCACGCTGTGGCTCTGTCCACTGTCTAGAACTCACCGTCCTCCCACCCACTCCCTGATCTAGTTTCACCCACTCGTTCCCTGTTCTGGCTCCACCCAGTGTCTATACCCGGCCCCCAGACTCACTCCACCCACTCTCAGATGTGGTCACACCCCCTGACCAAATCAACGCCAATAGCCTGTTCAGATCGGCTTCAAAAATCCTTTGTCGTGGAGTCCATTACGACTCATAGCGACCCTCTAGGACATAAAACTGCCCCACAGAGTTTCCAAGGCTGTAATCTTTACAGAAGCCGACTGCCACATCTTTCTGCTGCAGAGCGCCGGGTGAGTTGGAACCGCCCACCTTTTGGCTACCAGTGGAGCACTTAATCACTGCACCACCAGGGCTCCTTAGAGCTGCTTCAACCACTGTTTAGACCCCGCCCCTTCTTTCTAGGACTCCACCCACAGTGGTCTCAGCTCTATGATTCGCCCACCAGCACATGGCTCCACCCCCCATTCCCAAACTCCACCCACAGCAGTCTCTACCCTCTGATTCGCCCATGGCATATGTCTCCACCCACTCCCAGACCTGGTTCCACACAGTCCCAGATCTGGCCCCACCCATCAACTCAATCAACGCCAATAGCTTGTTCAGACCCTCTCCAACCACTTTCTAGATCCCGCCCCTTCCTTCTAGGACTCCATCCATAGGGATCTCCGCTCACTGATTCGCTCAAGGCATGTGACTCCGCCCACAGCGGTCTCTGCCCTCTGACTTCCGGCCGCATATGGTTACGCCCCCTCAACCAGACCCCGCCCCCCCGCGAGCGCCCCGCCCCCTCCATCCCCGCTGTTCACCTGCGCTCGCTGCACCATCTCGTCTGAGGTCCCGAAGCGCTCCTCCATCAGCGAGCGAATGTGCTGCGCTTCGAACTCCAGCTGCTGCCGGATCAAGTCCATCTGCATCGAGAACTGCTGGGAAGGGCGGGCAGGCTGCAGTGAGGGGGCGCCCTGCCCTCCCCCGCCCCCGGTTCCCCCCAGGACCCCTGGCACCCCAGCCACTCACCGTCTCCACGTGCGGCAGCTCGTCCAGGCGCTTGGACAGGCCTTGCAGCTGGGAGTAATACCATAGCTTCTCCTTCTCCTCCTTCTCGATCTCATTCAGCAGGAAGCACCTGGGGGGTGGGGCGCAAGGGCGGCGTGTCACAGATGTGCTGGCCATCTGAGGTCGGCCTGCCAAGTTCCCCAGGCAGCCTGGCAGTGCCTTCTGGTGGGGCTCCCAGCACTGCGGGGGATGGGGGTCGGCTGTGGTTAACTGAGTGGGCCACAGAAAATGAATTAAAGGGGAGAAAGGTATTCCCTTGTCACGGCTCCTCCTCTGAGGAAGTCTCTGACTGGGGCTGTTCCCTTCAGCACTTGCTAATCATCTCCCTCTACCCAATACAAGCAGGCTTCAGGCTCGGAGCACTCAAGGCGCCACAGAATCCCCCTCTCAACCCTGTGGGGAGATGCTGCTACTCCCATTTTTCACTGAGGCCGGAAGGGGATAGGGGACTCTCCTGAGGTCACACAGTGCACAAGGACTTGACGCCAGGCCCCTCACAAACTGCCCCGTCTGAGCCGACCCAACTGAACCAGGCGGCCCAGACCTGCCCCCCTCTGCTGGCCCCAAGCCCAGCTTCCTTGGGCCTCAGCTCTCTCTCCACAAAGGCTGCCTTGAGCTCCACTGGCTCCAGGCCTGCCTCCGAGCCCTGGTGACAAACGTGGCCCTGTCCCAAGCAATGCCTGTGTGTCAAGGACTCCTGGGGAGTCCCCTCTGCCAGGAACCCCGTCCTCTGCTCTGTCTCCCACTGAGGCTGCGAGGCTGTGCCGGCTCACCGTTCCCGGTCCAGCTCCTCCAGCAGGCGGATGGTGGCCCGGCTTGGCTCCCCAGCGCTGTCCTTGGAGGGCCCGGAGCCGTGCAGGGGGCTTCCCTCAGGGCTCCGGGTGGGGGGCTCGGGGCCCAGGGCCGGTGGCTGGAACTTGAGGTTGTACAGGCTGGAGATGTCCATTTGCAGGGCTGGGTGGGGAGGAGGGGAGGGCGGCAGTCAGTGTTGGCCCAGCCCCTCATCTTCCCAGCCCCCGGAGCGCAGGGCGCCGTCACCTTTCAGCTGCTCCAGCACCTCCGTCTGCCCCGAGGACACCAGCACGCGGGCCTCCTGCTCCAGCTTGCCCTGTAGATGCTGCAGCACCTCCTGAGGGCAGAGGGGGCATCAGTGCTGGGTGCTGCCCCTGGCTGCCTGCCCACCTCCCAGGGCCCAGCCCCTAGCGTCTGTCTCCGTGGCCCGGCTGTGTCCCCCGTCCAGCCCCTGGCGTCTGTCCCCGTGGCCGGGCTGTGTCCCCCGTCCAGCCCCTGGTCTCTGTGCCTGGGGCCCGGCTGTGTCCCCATCCAGCCCCACCCCCACCTTCATGCCCGACGTCTCCGTCTCCAGCTTGGATAGGTGGCTCGAGTTGTCCCTCAGCTCCTGCCTCAGGTGGCTGTTCTCGGCCTTCAAGGCCTCCACCTGCCGTACCAGCTGCTCGTACGATGCCACGGAGCTCGTCATCTTCAGCTCCTGCAGCGCCTAGGGCCACAGGGTCAGGGGTCACCGAGGGTCTGGGGAGGGGGTGGCCGGCACCCCGAGACAGCCCTGGCCCTGAGCCCCAGGCTTCCCGCCAGTCCTGGGGTGAGTCTGGCAGGAGCGGCTGGCACGGCCGGTCGGGGAATCCAGGCACAGACGGCATGGCAGATGGAGTGACAGACACAGAGACGAGGGGATAGGGAGGCAGGGACAGAGCCCCAGACGGACGTTCAGACGCAGCCCAAACGGCCCACTGCTGATGAGTCGGCCCCTCCCGGCTGGGCTCCCGGGCACACATGCTGACAGCCGGGCGGACGGACGGACAGACTGACAGCTGAGACCCACCCCTGGAGAAGCACGCCTACTCAGAGGCTGACAGGTGGAAAGGCAGGTGGACAGACGGACAATAGCGACCTATCGAAGGCCAACGCTGACACCTGAGAAAGCCAGGGAGCGGTCGGGGGGATGGCCGGAGAGCGGACAGGCGGACTCCGCCGGGATCTGGGCCGCCCGACAGTGTCCACACCCCGTCCATCAGCGGCTGGGTCCATCAGCGGCTGGGTCCGCGTGAGCTACCTGAGCGGTTGGCCGCCCCTCTGGCGGCCCTGGGCCAGCCCTCGCCGGCACCCGCTGACCCCTGCCCCTTGTCTCCACTTCTTTGTGTCTCTGCCTGTCCTTTCTCAGTCCGGCCCAGCCTCCTCCCTCTGTCCAGCTGGCTGCGCCTCCTCCCTGGACTTGGCCCTCCTGCTCGAGCAGGCCCATCCCCGGCCCCTTCCTCTTTGTTCGCTTTCCATCCACGCGCACCCCCTCCCTCCGCCTTTGTCTGAGATGCGCCAATGGCAGCCGCCCCTTCACCACCTCCTCCCACAGCCCCCTCCCCAAGTCAGCCCTGCCCACAGGGCCCCCTCCTCTCCCTCCCTTCCCTACCAGCCACACTCATTCATTCACTGGTTCATTCATTCTCTCCCACCTCGCACCCCAGGAAGCCCCCCACCCACCCTGGGGCCATCAAAGGCACAGCTGAGCCTGGAGTAGGGGTGGGGGCCTGGCCGGGGGTGGGGTGGGTTCGGGCCCTCCCAACTCACTCTGAGACCTACTGTGTGCCTGGCCTTGTTCTCTGGCTTCTTCCTGACCCAGTCCCACCTGAGGAACCACCATCGAACCATTCCCCGAGGGAGAAACTGAGGCCCGTGGAAGTCGGAACCCAGACCCTGCCTCGGCCCTGGCCACAAGGGGCTCAGATGTCCAGGCAGCTCTGGAGGTGCAGCAAGGCCCTCCCCAGCTCTAGGCCTCAGCCTGCCCATCTGAGGAGTGGGTGAGCTCAGTCTGCCAGTCTCCCAGAGTAATGTGAGGGTTAGCTGGACAGTCAGGGAGCAAACCACGGATCACAGAGCCGACTGGAAGTGTCAGCCTTCGCTTCCCACCCCAAAGCCAATCACGTCCAAGGCTCTGTCGGGGTCTCAGCCAGGGTCAAGCCCAGGGGTGGGGGCCACATGTGGTGAGGTCCTGGTGTCCAGCTCCAGTCCTGTCCTGGCTGAGGCCACCATGGTGTGTCCAGATGGAGCACAAACCCCTATGCATGTCCCTCCCACTCCCCAAACTCAGACCCCTCCTGAGCCCCCCAGGATGGTCATGGGCACGCCCCCACCGGCCTGTCCTCACGTGGCTCTCCTCCAACGGCTCAGGCTGAGCCTGGGCGCCGTCCCTCCTGACATCTGGTGGTCACTCTCTGTCTTCATCAGACTGACCTTGACAGCAGTCACCCACCAGTCTCCCCCTCAGCCCAGCCTGGCGCCCCCGACTCCATGCTCCTACCAACTCCGCCAGGCTCTGCCCCACCAGACCACCCTGCCTCCAGCACCCTCCAGCAGGACACCCTTGCCCGGCCTCCCCTAATCCTCTTCTCCCAAATAGCCAGAGGGAGCTTTCCAAGTCACAAGTCGGGTCCCATCCTTCTGCTCAAACACCTTTCATGGCTCCCTAGTGCCCTCAGGGTCAAGACCCAACCCTCCACAAGCCCGCTGCCTCACCTGCCCCGGCTGCTCTCCTCCCCCCAGACCTGTGCACACTGTCCTTCCTCTTCACTCGACTTCTGCCCTTTCACAGGGAGGCGTGGAGTTCCTTTCTCCAGGAAGCCCTCCTGCCTGCTCCTCTCCCCCCGGCTGGGTCAGGTACCTCTTGGGCCCTCCCCTAAGAGAGAACAGAAGGGAAAGGGCCAGTCGCTGGGCACCTCTCCAACTGAGCCATGAGTGGGCTGCATGGAGGTGGCTTGTCACAGGTGCGGGAGTCAGCAGGCCCCAAACCCCGGCTTTACAGAGAGGGAAACTGAGTCCCAGGAGGCACAGCTAGACTCCCAGGCACGCAGCAGGCCTACCCTCAAACGCTGCCCGGCCCCTGGCATTCCATCATCTCTGGGAGACCCCGTGCGGAAGCCGTGGGTGGGTGTGTGCGTGCCACCAGCTTCAGCGACACAGATGCCCACCTCCCGGGGACTCAGTTTCTCCTCTGACCCCCAGCCTGGAGCCACGGAAGATCCTAAGTCTGTGCTGACAGGCGACGCAGAGCGATGGGATAAGACCTCTGGGCAGCGGGCGGGGTCGCACGCCCTCCCCTCCACCCGTGAAGACGCCGCTCACCGTGTCTCACCCGGGTAGGCTGGTGGAGGCGCCGCGACCGGGTTCTCCGCCCTCCGCACAGCTCCGCAGGGCCTGTCCGGGCCTGAGGCCGCCCGGGGCGGGGGCTCCGGGGTCTTGGCGGCGCAGGTAGGGGGCTCCGGGGCGGACAAAGCCGCGTCCGGGCCTGGCCAAGCGGCGCAGCCGCCTCCCGCCGCCGGGCGAAACCACCGCGCGCGGGGGAGGATGCGGGATGCAGGCGCGGGGACCAATGGCGGCGCGGGAAGACGGGCTGGTGCCATGGCAACAGCCAATGGCGGCCCAGGGCGGGGACCAGTGGCAGCCGCAGGGCGCCGGGCCTCGGCGCAGGTTCAGGGGCTGCGTCTGCTGGGGTGAATCCCCCAGAGAAGGAGGCGCCCCGGGAACCAGGACCCCGCGTCACCCGCCCCATTCCGGGGTGAAATGGCCTCTTAGCGACCCCTGGGGCGGGATTCGCAGGATTTGAGAGTCAAACACCTAATCTGGGATGTTACATCAGACTCTGGGGGATGGGGGGCTCCCAAGGTAGGGGCAGGGGGCCGGGAGAGCCCTTCCCCACGGACCCAAGCCCGCCTTGTGTGCGTGGGTCAAGGTGGCACAGGGCTTGGGGATCCCGGAGGGACGTTCCCAGGGATCCTGGCCAGCATGAGGGACGGGCGGGCACGCGGGGGGCGCCTGAGACGCTGCATTTCCCCCTAGACCTTGGCGGCAACATCTCTTGGGACTTCCTCAGTCTCTGCCTCTCCCTCCATGTCAGTCTCTGTCTGCCCCCACTCCCTGCTCCCTGGGTCTGTCAGTCTCAGCCTCCTTGCTTCTCTGTCCCTCCTCACATCCTTAATTCGCCCTCACAGAAGGGAAGCTGGAGGAGGGAGGGGTCTGGGGTCTCAACAGCCCACCTCCCCAGCTGTCCCCAATCCTTGATGGGTCCCTGAAGGCCACGTGAGGATTTAACGCCCAGAGCCTGTCTCTACCTCTGGGACGCAGCCCTTCCTGCTACTGCTGCTGCGGGAGGCAGGGAGGGCAGAAGGAGGCGCCGTGGTCGGGGCTGCATTGGAGACCTAGCTCCGCGTTTCCCGGCTGGGGGCCAGGCAGACATTCCCTACCCTGCTCTTGACTCCCTTCTCGGTAAAATGGGAGGACGCGGCAGCTGGATCCTTTGCTGGGGCCACACAGGGAGTATCAGGGGAGACGGGAGGCTGCTGCAGCCAAGGACACGGGGGACCACGCGGTTTCCCGCTGGGTCTGGAGCTGGAGGCTCCTTGTGCTGCCCAGTCCCCAGCCAGCAATGCTAGGTCCCCAGTGAGACTCAGGCCTGGCCCTTGGGGGGGCCTCCAGAGTCTAGCACAGCAGTCCCCAGCCTGTGAGGCTTGGGGAGGGGTGCCAGGGGAAGGGAACTCTTTCTAGGGGCTGGGAAGGCTGCACTGAGAAGGGGACACTGGTGCTGGGCCTCTTCAGGATGAATCAGAGTTGGCCAGGTGATCAAGGTGGGGAGCAGTGTTCCAGGCTGAGGGAACGCTATGTGCAAAGGACCAGTGCGTGTATGCTCAGGGGGCATTGGGCAGGTGGTGGGGCTGGTCCAGAGGAAGCCACGGAGGATTTAGAGCAGGGATGGCCCCTTTAGGGGACTCATGGGGATAAGCTGACCATGAGAGACAAGGGTGGAGCTGGGCAAGGCTGGGATTGGGGGAGCAGAGCCCAGGGCCCCCGCTCCAGCTCTGCCACCATCCCCATGTGTGCCCTTGGGCATGCTTCTCTCTGCCTCAGTCTCCCACTGTGTTCAGTGGGGGGATGGATAGTTCCCGGGCCCCTACCAGTGGGACTGAGTCTCAGTCTCAGATATCACGGCTCACCAGGCCCTCTCAGCCAGAACCTCTGAGCTGGCAGGGACTTGGGAGTCCACCGGTCAGTCCACTCCTCGTACAGATGGGGAAACTGAGGCTCAAGCCAGGGAGCACGTTGCTGTAGTTCACACGTGAGCCCCACCCAGGCCCCCGAGTGGCTCTGGGCTTCCCTTCTCCCTCCGGGTGTGACCAGGGCCGGGATGGTGGAGGATCCTCAGGCTGAGGGCACATGGGGGGACGCAGACCTCAAGGGAGGTTCCCCTTGACCCTAAGCTTCTGGAACACCCCCAGATCCTTAACCTTGTAAATCCTGGGGCCACTGCTAGACGCAGGCAGCGCTGGACAGTGTAGATATAATCACGTGACGCTCGCTTCGGCCCAACCCCACCCTGTGGGCCTGCTGCTCTGGCTCACGCCTTGGACACAGTAGAGGTCACTCACGGAGGGTCTTGGTGACATCTGAGCCTGACCGCGGGGCGTTCCTGCCCCCCCC